CTTCACCAAGAGCACGGTGGAGGTCTCGTTCCCAGAGAACAATGCCCCAGGGGAGCGCGTAGCGACTGTAGTGGCCTTGGATGCAGACAGTGGCAAAAATGCAGAAATTTCATACTCGCTAGACTCCTCAGTAAATGGGATATTTTCCATTGACCCAGACAGCGGTGACATCCGTGTCAACACCATACTTGACCGAGAACAAACCGAGCGCTACGAGTTCAAGGTTATCGCCAAAGACAAAGGAGTGCCTGTCTTACAGGGCTCGGCCACGGTGGTGGTGCTGGTGGCAGACAAGAATGACAATGAACCAAAGTTCATGCAGGATGTTTTCACTTTCTATGTGAAGGAAAACCTGCAGCCCAACAGTCCTGTAGGCATGGTGACAGTGATGGATGCTGACAAGGGGCAGAATGCTGAGATGAGCCTCTACATTGAGGAAGAGGAGGACATATTCTCCATCGAGAACAACACAGGAACCATCTTCTCCACTGTGGCATTCGACCGCGAGCAGAAGACCACCTATTCGTTCCGCGTCAAAGCTGTGGATGGCGGTGACCCGCCTCGATCGGCCACAGCGACCGTATCACTTTTCGTGATGGATGAAAATGATAATCCACCAACAGTCACTTTCCCCATTAACAGCTCCTACACTCTGTTACCCCCATCCAGCAATATCCGAACGGTCGTCCGCACTGTCATTGCTACTGATACTGACACGGGTGTCAATGCTGACCTCAGCTACAGCATAATCGGGGGCAACCCATTCAAGCTGTTCGAAATTGATCCTGCCACTGGCGTCATTTCATTAGTTAGCAAACTTGAGCAGAAGCATTTTGGCCTTCACCGCCTGGTAGTGCAAGTTAACGACAGTGGGGTTCCTTCCCAGAGCACCACCACACTAGTGCACGTCTACGTCAATGAAACGCTCTCCAACTCCACCATAGTGGATGCCCAGATTGCCAAGAGCCTTGGAACACCACTTAACGCAGACATAGCTGGAGACCCCAACTATGACCTGGGCAAGCAGCGCTTAAGCATCGCCATTGGAGTGGTGTCTGGCATCATGACAGTCATCCTCATTATCCTTGTTGTGGTCATGGCCCGCTACTGCAGGCCCAAGAACAAGAATGGCTATGAAGCTGGTAAGAAAGACCATGAGGACTTCTTCACCCCGCAACAACATGACAAAAGCAAGAAACCCAAGAAGGACAAGAACAAGAAGAAGTCAAAGCAGCCACTCTACAGCAGTATCGTCACTGTTGAAGCGTCAAAGCCCAACGGACAGCGCTATGATGGCGTCAATGAGAAACTCTCTGACAGTCCTGGAATGGGCCGCTACCGCTCTGTTAACGGTGGGCCTGGAAGCCCAGATCTCGCCCGCCACTACAAGTCCAGCTCACCCCTGCCTACAGTCCAGCTTCACCCACAGTCGCCCACGGCGGGTAAAAAGCACCAGGCCGTTCAGGATCTGCCCCCGGCCAACACCTTTGTGGGCACCGGAGATAACATATCCATTGGATCTGACCACTGCTCCGAGTACAGCAGCCAAACCATCAACAAGTACAACAAACAGGTAAGAACCTATCTAAATGAATCATCCTACTCCAGTAATTATATTTCCTTCATTTCTGTAGTTTTTCTCTCTGTTTCCTATGATAGAATGACTTGTTTTCACCAGCCAGGGCCCACTGTAATAGCACTGTGCTGGCTCTATGTATTTTTAGCTGAGCTGTCTGTTTCTCTGTATCGACCCGCTTTGGTTCATGGTGCCATTAAATGTAATAGTGAAAGCGGCGCGAGGGCATACTTTAGTCAGGGATATCATATTCCGTGGGCCTGCTGCGCTGAACCCTCGCTGCGGATGCGTGGGGCTCCTTTGAGGCTGTGTTCACAGTGCAGACGAGGTGTCAGTGTCTGTGACCTCTGTCTGTGTATGTGTCAGTCGAGCGGATGGGATCACATAAGGCTCTGGTTTGCAGCTATTCCAACACAGCGGTGGGCCTGCAGCTAGTGCAGAGGCTTCCTAATGCCAGGTTAAGACACCCCAGCCCCCCCGAGACCCCTTCCTTTCAAAACACGGCTACCTTTTTCCTAGCTGGGCGGGTTTGGCTGAAAGAGAGATGATAGAAAGCAGAGAAAAGGGGGCCGAGATTGAAAACGGTGGAATGTTAGTGGCGGTGTCGTGTTTTATATTGCTTCCTCGGGCTGACTCGGAACAGCTGGGCAAGAGGTCACATTTAACATTCCTGTGCACTTGTGTGTCTGGACCAATTCACTGACCTAGCTGTGAAATTCTTGCCTCTCTCTCTCTCTCTCTTTTGCTGCTCCCTTTCTCTTTCACCCCTATCTACTTCATTCCATTTCAATTTCACTTCTTCTCCATTTCGCTCTCTCTCTCTCTGTTCCTCCCTTTTGTTTACACCACCATTTAAAATGTAAAAGACTTTTTCTGCGCTCCTGCAAGCTTGACAGGGCATTCATATTCCGAGCCGTGCGCGCGTGCGAATTAATCAATTCATATCGTTATTGTTCTCTCTCCTTTGGAGCGGAGAGGAGGGAGGCGAGGTTAATACATGATGAAGTCAGTCCTTTATTTCACGTTTAACGGGAAAAAGAACACTTGGCCTGTTGTTTCATGAGTTTTCTATGGCAGTCTAATACATTATTGATCATTCTCTTACATGGACACGATGTAAGAAGCAACTCTTGCATCCGTAAGTACTTCTCTCCCCATCACAAGACAGATTTCCTCGTCTCTCTCTCTCTTTTTTAACCAAGCGCTCTCTCTCACTTTAACCCACACAGTTCTTCTCTATTTCATAGTGTTTTCTTTCTGTCACAGAGCCTCTTTTTTCAGGGTTTTCTCACATAATCTCTGCGCTCTCTCCATTTCTCTTTTTTATTTGTATTTTAAAATACATTCTTCTATTTCTCAGCTCACTCTTCCTTTCTTATTCTTCCACTTTTTGCCAGTCTCTGTTTCTTGTCTTAGTATTCCTTTCACATTTCTGCTCTGTCCTTGCCCAGATCCCTATTTGCTGCTTCTTGCTCTCATCCTCTGTGGTTTTGCCATCCATCAACAACTCTGTCTTGGTTTTTCATTTCTCTCCCCTCTCTCTCTCCCTCTGTCTCACTCTCTCTCAGCCTCTCTTTCTTTCTCTGTCTCTCTCTCACTCTTCCTCCCTCTCTCAGCCTTTAATGTGCCGTGTAGAGGCGTCTGCGCCCGCTTGTGAGAGGAGTGCTATTGCTTATGTTTCTTACGGATGTCTCATACATAATTAAACATGCACTCTGTTTGCTGCCATGGCACATGTATTGTGTGTCCGCATACCCCGGCTAAGATATAATTATTATTATTTTTTTTTAACTCAAGCTCTGTGGTGGTTTTGATTCGCCATCCATTTGTGGCGGGCATCCACGCGCAGCCCACTTCTCCATAAGGTGCAGGGTGAAAGCCTTCTCCCCCATTACCAATATGCAATTACTGCTTCTTAAGCATGAGGTGCTATCAAGTCTGCCGCTGTTTCGTGAGTTATCCCCGCTGACAATTTAACAGGGGCTCCCTTGATGTTTTATTGAACATTATCAGGACTAGCCAATGTGCCCCTGCAAAACCCATTAAGTTTGCTGCAAAGCATAATAGTCTATATCAAATGCATTGTAAGGAGAAGTCATTAGAATTTAATTTTAGCGATCGACTGCTGGGAGCCCTGTAAGTTCCCTGCTTGCTTTTGTCTGTGAAATTGGACTTCTCTTGTGTTGACATTTGTGTTGATGTTAAAAGGGAACTAATTTCTCTCTCTCCTTCTCTCTCTCTCTCTCTCTCTCTCTCTCTCCCCCTCTTTCCCTCCTTCCACATATCCTGGAATTTACTTCACAATGAACCTGCATGCTCATATACTCTCATGCACCAATTATAAAATTAAGACACTAGCTGAACGGCCCTCCTGCTGGCATCTTGGTTTAGAAGCGGCTGGTTTGGGCTATGTGCATTCTTAAAGGCAGAATGAAAAGCATTTAGAGTCTTTTTTTATTGAGAGACCTCCTCCCCCAACCCTAACATATAGGTAATAAGCTGCTTAAGGCAATACAGTGCAAGTACTGCATAATCAGGCAAAAGACTATTGAGTTTATTAGTGCGAGTTGAGCAAGAGGTCAATTTATTTCTCACTTGGCTTCACATGTTGATCACGTTTTTGAGTTAACCCCTTAAGTGACCAGGAACTGATAGCAAGTCCTGGTTTCCATTCCACACACCTATAACTCAGAGAGATTGCAGTTTTTCATGTACTTTCTGACTAACAAGGCTTTGGATATAATAAGCATGGGATTTTAAAGGGCCCGTGTCTTACGATTTTCTTGGTTTTTCATTTTTCTCCCTGAGGTCTACTTATGACATTTGCTTGGCTTTTATGTACCAAAACCAGTCAGACAGACTTTTAGCTGTTATTTAGCATGATTGTTTTCAATTCTGTTAGCAGCTATTTTGTTACTGTCTTGTTAAGCCTGATATATATACCTGATATACCTGATTGAATGGTATGTTTGGAAACAATATTTAGATACATACATCTAACCATTTATATTAAAAAAGCTAGAAAAATTCCTTTTTCCTTGCTGTGGGCCTTTTAAGGGGTGAATCAGAGAGCTAACACATAGGTTAAATCAAACAGTTCAGCTTAATGCCTAGCTGGAGATGGAATTTGGAGTGAGAATTTACAAAGCACAAGCTTCAAAAGCAGCATTAAGCATTAAATGATGAAGCCTGCCTCTCCTGTACAATGCCCCAATAGCGAATGATCCCTGAAATTGCATGTTAAGCGGCTGAGTGAGGCTGAGGTCTTTCTGATCATATTTGATTTCAGCTGCTGTGCTCTGACATCTGAGATTCTCTCTCTCTCTTGCTCTCTCTCTTGCTCTCTCTCTCTCTCTCTCACTCTTTCTCTCCCCCTCTGTCTTCCTCTATCTGGTGAAAGAGAAGAAAAAAGAGAGACAGGGACAAGAAAGAGGGCCCTGTTAACTGGCTAGAGAAAGGTCTCTACTGTTCAATGTGCAGTGTGTAGTGTGTGTAAGTGTGTATGTGCAAAGGCCTCATGAATGTGCGGTCTGGTTTCAGGTAACCCCCCCTCCCAAACGCTCACTCACACAGCTCCAGACAGGTAACCAGGCAACTGGTGGAGCGTAGCTCTTCCATGTCCCCTGCACACGAGATATTTAAGCGGTCATTAACTTAACCCAATGCAGGTGGCTACTTGAGTTCCACCAGCCAGCTGTCATTGTGCACGTAGGAGACTGGAAGACGATATACTTGACATTTTAGCTCTGTCGGAAATGGAAAAAAAGTTTTTATCTTTTTTACACAGCTCCTTGCTTCCTTAAAGTGGATATAGAAACTCATAAATGCTCATTTCTTTTTGCTGCATCTCTAGAATGTAGAAATATAAATATTGCATGTACTTTTTTCTCACAGTATCCGATCTGATATTCCGATGTCTGAACTCTGTTGGCTGATATCAAATAATGTGCTCGTATTTCATAGTAATAAATTAACATCATATGCAGTAAGCTAGACAGCTGACTTATAGGTAGGTAATATTTTGTTGCTGTCAAAGCAAAACCTTGAATTTCCAAAATAGCAACTTTACAGGAGAAGGAAAATACATTCTTAACTTTTAATGTAAGCTACTTTAATTCTATTTCTGTTGGTTCATTCTTTATAAAACTGTGACACTGGTAATTTCAAATCATGTCAAAACCCTAATAGATGATTTCTCTTACTGAGTGATAGCAATGCAACGGACTGTACAATTGTGTGCAAATGTTTGAACAAAAATTATATTTAAGTGAAAATAATTTAACACATCCTCTACCATCAACACACTTAAATATGGCATTTTTCAGCAGATTTCATTACACAGCATCTATTTATTTGCTCAGTTTAACATATTGGAAAAGAAAAACTAAAACATGAAGTATTAAAAAGTTCCATAACTTTTGCACCGGCCACATTTTATGTTGTATTTTTTTCACCCAATATGTTAAATGCATGTTAGAGAGTAACTGTGTATTAGAATATGCACTGTGTCCTCTGTAGAGAATGTGTTAACTTATTTTCACTTAGGAAATCAACATAACATGCAATTTGATCAGGAGGTCACAAACTTTTGCATATGACTGTGCATGTGCAACTATATGAATATTTATCTCTGCACAGAATAAATTTTAATCACAAATGAAAGAAAAACTGTGAAAAACTGAACAGGCTTGAATGGAAATGTATTTTGAGATAGCAAACTGTACTGCAGCTCCATCACAGCCTAAACTGAACTCACAAATAAATAATCATAAAAACAGTGTAGGCTAATGTACCGTAGTAGATACAATCACCACACAAAATTCTGACTGTTATGACTGTTAGTATTGTTAGTATTGGTGCCAAGACTGATCCAGTGTATCAGATCTGAGCATCTCTGCGTTGTATGTAAGGAGAAGGTTCTTCTTTTCGCCACTGGCTCTTGCATCAAGAATTCAGTGAAGGCATGGTAGGCCTACTTAAGTCGAAAAATGAGTCTG